ACTGTAAAAACTTTTTACAAGTCAGTAGAGTCATGGTAGGGTCAATAGAATTATTTAATAAAATTGTATTAACTATCTATTAATTTTTTATTCATTGTTCACAAATGAGTAACAAATAAATTATTGTACATCATACGCCAGGTATCAGTTTTTACTGGCTCTTGAAGGTGACAAGCTCGCCTGACGTCTCGCTAGTCATACTCATTTCCTTCAATCACCAGTAAAAACTGTCTTACCTGGCTAATAATGTAAAATACTATTACCTACGAGCGTGCGGTAAAGTGCACTTTACCGCATAGTGTGCGGTAAAGTTAACTTTACAGCATAGTAGGCGGTAAAGTGGACTACAAAGTGTGCGGTAAAGTGCACTTTACCGCATAGTGTGCGGTAAAGTAAAATTTAATATTTTTAATCAGAAATCCTCTCTTTTTCAGAAAATGGATTTTTGATCATTTCTATATCTAATCTAATTTCATTAATTAATCTGATTCAATAATTAATTTTATCAATGCCTTTTTTCAGAGATGTAAATGCTCATAGGTAAAATTTTGTACCTAAAACATGCGGAAAGTGCCTTTACCGCCCTTAACGGCTTGACCGAACTCCGCTCCGCGTCGTTCGGTCAACTGCCGTTGCGTGCGGTAAAGTATCACTTTCCGCATTTGTTAGGTAAATAACTATTGTAAAATCAATTACCGACTTGTTTACCGTATTGTAGGATTTAGCTATAATATCTAACTACAGTTTAATATAATTTTTAATTAATTAATTAATCATTATCACAATCAGATATTTACCTTTGGGTTTACATATGTTGAATTTTAATTACAGGTAAGACGGTAGAGCTCTCCCCGATACCCTTGATTACAGGTTTTTGATATTTATAACTCCCTAGGGATTATTTATTACCCTTCTGCATTTATACATTTGTTTTTTTATTGATTTGATTGACTTTGAGTCATAAAATTAAAGGTTAATGGTATTATGACTTCCGCATTTATACTTAGGTAAATTTCATCGTGGGTATTTATTTAATTGTTTTTGAATTTCAATCCTGCTGCTTATTTTTTTTTTTTTTAAATTTGGATACTGAACAATATTTTTCTTTGAACTTTGAACAACAAGTTCGCCGTCTTGTGACAATCTTTTAATGAACAAGTTTGACATTTAATTAATAAATTATTGTTTTTAGAATTCCAAAACTTGTGTTTTTATTGAATGGGTTAAATGTCTGATAGCTATTGGATTTTGGATTTATTTTACCTTTTCACATTTTTAAATTTATCTTTTTAAATAATATAATTTTATAATCAAAATAATTTTATACAAACTGGTGGCTCCCTCTCTTTACTGTACCAACACCAAGGACCACCCCAAGCTGAACAACCACTGAGCATAGTCGAGCACAGATTATGAGCATTCTTTTGTTACGACAAAAGAGCGTTACAGTATTTAATCTCTTGAGATTTCGTTTGACCAATATATTTTGCCCTATATGAGTTGCATGTTACCTCATATATTTAGTTTTATGTGTAAATTCCTTACAATTTTTTTGTATTGAGGTACTACATATTTGTATTGTTGGTATCTCTTTGAAGATGTTCTTTATGCAGTTGAATAAAGTTGGTATAAAGAGTACTGGTATTCTAAATATTGTATCTGGTGGAGTCAGAGTGTTATTATTAGAGGTGTAGATGGAATTATGTGCCTGATTGTGTATTTTATTGATTAAATGTCTAGGATATACATTGTTGGACAGAAGGTCGGTTAGCTTTTTTATATTTTTATTCCAGAAATTTGAGTGACTCAGTTTCTTTATTCTATTTATTTGTGTTTTCACTAGTCCAATCTTATGTGTCATTGCACGCTGTGAGTAGTAGTTCAAACAGCGTCCTGATGAATTAGGTTTCTTGTCTATGTAGTAACACGTCTAAAAAAGGCAATTTGTTATTGGTTTCACGTTCTATTGTGAATTGCAAGTCCCTATTGAAAACAGGCAAAATATATTCCTCGGCATCTTTGGGAATGGCCGCCAGAAAATCATCAACAAAGAATCTGACAAAAAGGACATTAAAATTATTTTCCAATTTATCAAGTGTGTTTTCTATTAAATCCGTCATGATGAGTTCTGCAAAAATAGGGGATGGAGGGCTACCCATTGGGGCTCCCTTTATTTGCTGAAAGTATTCTCCACCATAGGTACAGTAGCTGGCTTCAAATATAAGCTCCACTAAGCTCAGGAGAGTGTTCGGATTCATTGATGTCTTGTCCTTCATAATATCCTATTTATCTTCAATTGATGCAAGGATAAGGTCTTTCGGGATATTACTAAACAGGGATACTACATCTAAACTCACTAATATATAGTTTTGTGGTAATTTATTATCTTTTAGATATCCATTAGTCGATAAGATTTTTTTATGGAGTATCTGTCGTTACTTCAGGATGTGATTCCTTACAATATTTTAAGAAAAAAAAGTTCCCATAAACATGTATCCGGAAATGCGTAGTTTCTGAGATACAGGGTGTCAAAGTTTTAAAAAAAATTGTTTTTTTAGCTCAAAAATCACTTTTCAAAATTTTTTTCAAATTTGGCAGGTTTGCTTGTGATAACAAAAGGTATCTTTTGACTGTAATATGAATTGCTTAATCTGAAAAAAATATCAAAGGTTTAAAAAAATAATGAAGTGCCATTTTTTTTCTACTATTACCTCGACTTTTACCAAAACAGCCTGTATATTTTTCTATTTTCTGACGACCCTACATGCTATTTCAAGTTTTAATAGTTTAATACTATTTTTTCAAGAAGCAGAAACTTTTATAAAGAATAACTTTTTTTCGAAAAATTGATAATAAAAAAGTTTCCCATATGCTGCGAACTAAAGTGGACACACTGTATATATTCATATGGATAACGCCGCCATTTTGTGCCTTACCTGTTGCTACTTTTAAATATGAATATATTATGGGATTTGAATGGATATCCATCATTAAAAAATTGAAACAACGTATTTGATGTACCTGATAAAAGTCATCAAATACGCTGTTTTCAATTTTGTATATTAAATCTCCATTTAAAGCTTCATATATTCATATTTAAAATTAGTAAGAGGTAAAGCACAAAATGGCGGCGGGACCTCTTTTGTCGCCATTGTTTGTGAAGGCTTATTTAGTCACTGTAAGTACAGAGATCTCCAAGCGCCATCTATTGGACTATAATATTTGATAACAGAAAAAAGATCCTTTAGTGGCGCCATCTGTTGATAATTCTCTGCACCGTCGGGTGGTGACGTCATAATCTTGTGGCCTCCGTTTAAATTGGTGGGTAATGATATCAAATTTTATTATTTTTTGCTTCTTTAACTGTATCGTTCAGGTACTTATTTTTTCATTACAAGGGTTTATTTTGATTGCATAAATCGAACAGTGCAATGAAAATAGTTAAATTTAACTATGATTAAACACCAGATTGTTTTCACATTATTAAGAAGGGCTTGTTTACTTGAAAAATTGTCAAGCCATGACTTTTGTGCATTCAAATTATTATTGGGTTTGTACTTTTTCACAATAATGTCGTACTTTTCTTGTTGTTTATTTTTAATTGTGATAAATTTCCTTCCATAAAAAAACTTTTGTTTTTTGTTAAAACTGTCTGGTATGGTATCTGTAATAAAGTTACTGACACTCTCTTTACATCCATTAATATTTTTAATTACGTTGTTGATCGTGTTTATTGTAGAATCAATCTCTATATACCGATAACCGGTAATTAGAAATTTGTGTAGTAAGTCGGGCCGCACACCGAAGAGACATGCCACATATTGGGAATATTTGTGTCGCTACAATTTTTGGCCCACATTTGCGCTCGCAACGAATGTACCATACACACACATACACCAAACACATACAACAATTCATTTGTGGTGAAGTCTGCGGTGAACAAAGATTGCAGTGAATAATTTTGTCGTCTTCATCAGACGACGATGATTTTTTAATGTGGCAACTAATGAGAAGAAGAAGAAGAAGGCGTTACTGGGTTCATCCATGTAATGAGGATTGGGCAAGCTTTGGCAATTTCAAGGTTTCTCAAGATTTGAAGCACGACGATGAAAAGTTTCAGTTATATTATCGAATGACTCAAAATACATAATATAAGTTATTACTGGACTTAGTTGAACCATGTATAAAAAAGAGAGAAATACCAACTACAGAGAGAGTGTTTCTGCCGAAGAACGTTTATTGATTACCTCAAGGTAAGTATTCTTATATACTGGGCTTTCATTTCAAAACTTGCCACCCACATTATCTGCGTAAAGAGGCATATTCGTGGAAATCGCCGAAACACGTAAACACATTTATTGCGGGGAAAGCTTTTTTACGTGAAAGTGGGCTTTGCCCCTTCAACCCCCTAAGCCCTAGGACTACCACCGCAAAATTTTCAAAAGAGACAGGGGGTCGAGTGATAGGCCATTTTAAACGGCTGTTTAATCTGTAGATTTTGTCGTCCTGTTTTTTGAATTTGACCTCACTGTCGCAGAATAACACCCATTTCAATATTTAAAAATGCCTATTTATCCTTAAACACACCTGCTTGTTTACCTGTGGCTGTAATAAAAAGGTAGGTAAAGAAGCAGGTGTGTTTAGGGATAAATAGGCATTTTTAAACATTTAAATGGGTGTTATTCTACAACACTGAGGTCAAATTCAAAAAACAGGACGGCAAAATGTACAGATTAAACAGCCCTTTAAAATGATCTATCACTCGACCCCTTGTCTCATTTGAAAATTTTGCGGTGGTAGCTCTAGGGCTTAGGGGGTTGAAGGGGCAAAGTCCACTTTCACGTAAAAAATCTTTCCCCGTGATAAATTTGTCTAAATATGCCTCTCTACGCAGATAACGTGGGTGGCAAGTTTTGAAATGAAAGCCCTGTATAATGAAAGATTAATTTAAGCTGATATAAGTAAAAGTATCTTCGTGATCCTGAGAGTCTTGAGAATGGCTAGTGGATAGGCGAGATAAGTATATCTGCTGAGGCTGTGTCACTTCTTGTAAAAATTGAGTATAAAATGTTGATGCTGATGGTACACTTTGCGACTGTGGATACTTAACGTCTTGCAGCAACTGCAGTGCCTTCCTTTGGAACGATAATTGTTGTTGGTCGGTCATTGATTCCATATGAGGAATCAAACTTAACAAAAATAGCTCGCACGAACTTTTCTTGGACTCTTTCTGTAGTTTATCTTCTATTTTTTTTTTAATATCAAAATAATCAATAGCGCATTTATCTGCATCGTCAATCGTTTTTTTACGGCTTGTTTTTGATGATAAGCAGTGGGGAGTTTCTGAGCAACTAAGGCTAGATACATTTGTATCGAAATTTGAATGAACCGGGGGTGATGGAATTCCCTCTCTTGAGTGATCTTCTTCTGCATCTGTTTCGTGGGCCTCTTGTTGAGATTCCTCTGAATATTCAGTTTGTAATGTTCCATGGTCAATCGTATCTTGATTTTGGCATTGAGAAGTTATGTTGCTCTCTTGACGTAGGTTTTTCGTGAAAGGATTTAGAAACTTTAAATACTGTGCCAAGTAGTACTCCTTTTTTGATCCAGCACCAGAACCACTCTTTGCTTTATTGTTGATACTACGGATGTAGGCTGAGCGAATCAACTTCCTCTTATTTTTACAGTCATCTCCTGCAAAAATATTCGTATTTAAATCAAATACGGATAGTATATGCTATTTTTTTTTGCAGGTATTTGGCATGTCTTACGTATTTAAGAGAGGTGAAACAACAATTGGAAAAATTGTCGATACAACCTGTGATGCCATATGGAGAATTTTACAACCACTGTATATGAAAGCACCAACAACGAATGACTGGCAACATATTTCACAAGGATTTCAACAAAAGTGGAATTTACCCAATTGTTTATGTGCTATAGACGGCAAACATATCCGAATCAAGAAACCAAATAACTCCGGATCTCCATGTTTTCATTATAAAGAATATTTCTCAATCCATCTCATGGCATGCGCCGATGCGGATAGACTCTTTACTACCATAGGCAGCGGCGGATTTAGGATTCCTTCTAGGGGGGGGCGATCCATCAGGGCCTCAGGCTCAGATAAGAAATATTAAAAAAACGACTTAAATATACAGAGTGGCAAAAAAGTCGCGTATAATACCTGTAACTTTCTAATTACCTCGTATACGAAAAAGTGACCTTAATGAAAGTTGCTCAGTAAATTAGGGACATAAAGCTTCCGTATTTTTTGCTCGGTATCCGTATCGGTATCGTACTGCGCATGTGCAGAAGCGATACGGAGGCCGAGATACCGTACGTACAACGTAACGTTACGGCCCTCTCGCGGTATCCGTATCGGTAACGTATCTTGACATTCCTGACGCATGTGTCAAATTTCAAATGAATATAACCTCCCTTTTCTTCCGGGTTGATTTAATTTGTTTAGTTTTTACTTTCTTGAGTTTCTTGTGTTTAGTGCTTCTCTATCGCAAAAAAATAACAATTTTCAGGTTAGATAAAAAAACGCCGAAGTTTTGAGACAAAAATGTCTAGGTTATGAAATGCGTTTACGTTTACCGGAACAGGGAGCGCTTTAACAGCCTTTTCGCTTGTCAACGTATCTAGTTGCGTTACGGATACCGATACCGATGAATTATTTCAAGTAGCTTTATGTCCCTAATATTTCCCACAATTCTACTTAAACGTATTGCCTGTGTCACTTCTGGTTTGTTTGCTATCTAGACCAACTTTCTTTTTTTCAAATAAAACACCCTGTATGTGATTGCATATTTGGATTCTACGTAAAATTCTGAGCAGATATCATGTGATATACCCTATACCTAAGTTCAACTGTTTTGGAAATATTGACAGTTGAACATTGACTTTTTGCAACTTTGACAGGCTGTAAAACCTGAACGGTTAATTTCAGAGGAAAACCGATTTCACATTCCTATCTTAGATTTTCATAAACTATCATTTGACATCAACATTTAATTTAATCGGAGATTAAATTTAATTGGAATTATCAATTATAGATTAAATTCAAAGTTGGTGCGGATTTACGTCATCCGCAGTCGATTCGCTCCCAGCTCGCTGCTGCCAAACGTATTTAAAAGTATTAAAAATTTGGAAAAATAGCAAAAACCATATGGAATTTCATGTTGGATAATGCTTGATGAATATGTTTGTGTTTTCGTTAAAAATTTCGTTGTTGCGTCGCTCAATAGGGGGGGGGCGCGCGCCCCCCGCACCCCCCTCTAAATCCGCCACTGACCATAGGTCCATAGATGTAGGTGATTACGGAAGGAATAACGATTCAGGAGTTTTTAAAAATTGTGGATTGGGTCAAGGCCTATACAACAAAACTTTGAACATTCCAGAGCCATCACCACTACCAGGTGAAGAATCATTCGGTCGGTCCTTTAATTATTATTTTGCAGCAGATGAAGGGTTTCCCCTTTGTACCAATATAATGAGACCATATAACCAACGATCATTAAATAATAATCGCCGAATATTCATTATAGATTGTTCCGGGGCGAAAAATTTTAGAATGTTCTTTTGGAATGTTTGTATCAAAATTTCGTGTTTTTGAAACACCAATTTCGTGCTCTGTTGAGAAAGTTGTGAAAATTGTTGAAGCTGCTTGTATGCTACAAAACTTTATTAAAAAGAATGCAATATAAATTTCACCCCATCAACTGAAAAACATCACCAACAAATATTTACTCTCATGGTAATAATAACGTAAATCAAGGAAGACCAAGTAATGATGCCATCGAATGTCGAGAATATTTATCCAATTATTTTATACAACCTTATGGTTTAGTACCATGGCAAAATAACTTTATAGTATAAATTCTCAATATAAATGTTTTTTACCTTTGTCGTTGAATTTTGCTCCATAACACTTCAATAATCCGCCTTTTACTATAATTATCCAGAGAGTAATCATATAGCTCTGGATTTTTTTAAATTTCAGCAATAAAACTTATATTGAAATCCACACTGTCTTTCATTTTGAAAAACACATGCGTCTTTACGCCGCAAAAAACGCTCCTGAGCGATCTCGTGTTTATGTGGCATGCTTGTTCATTCGACACAAATTGCACCGCGCCACCAATGCATCTCCAGTATGCGTGTTCACATATAGCATAAAGGGGGCGATACATTTTGTGCGACACATATGTGGCGCGATAATTGTGGCGAGGCAAATGTATGTTTGGTGTGCGACCCGCGTAAGCTTATTTTTGAAACAGTGTTGAATGTGATTTGGAAAAACGTTGTCCGTCCAGCAATTGTGGGAACCACTGTACAATATTGGGATACTAAACCACTGTGAACCCAACCTGCTGTCCCAGGAAATGACAAGATGTCAGCAGCCAAGGGAGAAACAATGGTTATCAGTCGTTACCTATGGTTATAAAAGGTTGTTGATTATTATTATTATAATTGTCATTATGTTGGCATTACGATTTCTATCTTGCTGTATCTTTACCATGTTTAATAGAGTCCTGCATTGAGAAGTGGAGTTAATTATTATCCAATTTAACCAGGACCTTCCCTCACATCAGAAGTGGGATAAGAATTTGTCTTTTTTTTTGTGTTTTTGCGTGTATCTTGCAGGAAATTATGCCGCATAACAAAAGAAAACGTTCATCCACATCGCCCTCATCTACGATGGATTCGAATTCATCTAGTTCAAGCAGTAACAATCGTAGAGGCCGTCGTAAGTCCAAGAGAAGCCACAAAAAAGATAAAAATATAAAAATTCGAAACAAAAGTAGCCATGTAGCAGGGGTAAGTGAGGCAGTTTCATTAAGTTCACTTTCTATGACCCAACAGCAAATGAGTGTATCAACTTTAATACCAGAATTTAATCCATTGAAAGACGATATTTTGCACTGGATTCAAGTTATCGACCATAATGCACATATTTACGGTTGGTCGTCAAATGATACTATTTTTCAAGCCACAAGTAAGTTAAAAGGTACGGCTCAAATTTGGTACCACAGTTTAATATCGAACGACCTTAATTGGGCCCAGTATTCATGGGACACGTGGCGTGAAAAACTATTAGAAACTTTCCAAAGCAAGCGAGATTTACATTCATTGTTTCAAGAGCTTATGAGTCATAAACCAACTAAAAATCAATCTCTTTACGAGTTTTTGTTCCTTCATTTAGCAAAAATAGATAATATGAGACTAAATATTTCAGAAAATGATAAAATTTCCTTAATTTTGGGTTCAATTGGCGATCAATATATTAAGACTGCAGTAGAGGCCGCACAAATTAAAACCGTGAATGAGCTGGCTTGCTATTTGCGCAATAAGACGTACTCTACTGGAAATCTGTCAAAGCCTGGACCAAGTAGTAGTAATCGCTTGGATTTCCAAAACAACTTCAGGGATAATCACAATAAAAGTATTTTCAAACCCAAAATTCTTGGCAATTGTAATTCTTGTGGTAAGCCAGGTCATTTACGGGATCAGTGTCTCCATAAACGCAAAGTCTGCAACTATTGCAAAACATTAGGACACATTGAAACAGCTTGTAGAAAAAAGAATTCAGAAAAAAATACGAAGTTTGATAACACAAAAACTGAAAATATAAAAATGATCAAAGAAACCTCATCAAAAAAATTTCATAAATCTATTAAAATTAATGATATAGAAATTGAGGCATTTATAGACTTGGGGAGTGATTGTTCAGTAATAAATCGTGATTTGGCATTAAGATTAAAATTACCCATCAAAAAATTAGATTACAATGTTTCTCTCTCAGGATTTACAGGCCAGCGAGTCCAGGTTTATGAATGTGTCACTGCTAAAGTTTTAATAGATAATTGTTGCCTTGATATACAGATTTATGTTATTAATAAGTTAAGTAAAGATACCGACCTAATAATTGGTCGTAACTTCACTGAAAATGAAAGAATTTGCTATAAGAGAATAAGAGATAATTTTTCTTTCCAAAATCTCTCTTCAACAGAGCCTGCGCCGGAAACTACGTGCCGTCTTGATATACGCCATGGGGACCTAACTGATACCGATAAAAACAAATTGTACGAGATAATTAACAAGTTCGAATCATGCATGTACGTATCAATGGACAAACTGGGAAAAACACATTCTGCTTTACTTAAAATAGAACTCAAAGATTCGAAACCTGTATGTTCACGCCCTTATAGACTTTCAGAAAGTGACAAGGGAATTATGAGGGAACAAATTCAAGAATTGTTGTCAGCAGGTATTATTCAAAAAAGTAAATCAGGATATGCAAGTCCCGCCTTGTTAGTGAATAAGAAAGATGGTAGTAAACGGCTGGTAGTTGACTATAGGGCCCTTAATAAAATAACGGAAAAACAAATAAAATTTCCTCTTCCCTTGATTGAAGATCTTATTGATTCGGTAGGAAAATATAGGTATTTTTCAACACTCGACCTTGCCGCAGGATACCACCAAATTCCTGTAAGTCCAGAATCAACTCATAAAACAGCATTTATCACACCCGAAGGACTCTATGAATACCTAAGGGTTCCGTTTGGCTTGAGTAATGCACCAGCCATTTTTCAAAAAATGATGACTGAAATATTTGAGCCGTTACGGGAATTTGGTGTAGTCCCATATTTAGATGACATCATCATGCCGTCGAATTCAATACAGGA